AAAGGGAATAAACGATTAACCACCTGGAGTCCAAGTTGTTCAAGTGTACCCAATGTGAATCCTTCAGGATCATTTTGGCAGGAGAAAACAGCTTCTTGCTAATACTTATTAGAAATATACATAACTCTCCAACACAGGGGAGGGGCTTTAGAAGCTGTTCTCGTTGAAAAATTTACATAGATATAAATTTGTAAGAGTAAAGCCTACTGCACTATATTACCACAGAATCTTGGTACAATGGGGGCGTGGCGAAGAAGTACCTAGCTCCTCAGTGTTAATATGCAAAACTGAAAGCATCAAAGAGCAACCATTTCTCTGCCTAGAGTGATACGAAGGATCACTGCTCCAGGTCTCTCCCTGCCCAAAAGGCCTTTATGACATATAAGGGATGCTAATCAGCAACTAGGACTTCCTGACAAGCCCTGTGGTTCTCTCCACTGGCAGGGCTGAGTTAGTGTACTGATTTCTATTCACACCCCAGGTATTATTTCATTGAATTCCCTGGCACTATGAATGAAACACTAAAAAAAAAATATTTAACTTTAAATGAAATAAAAATTAAGGCCTCTCTCTCTCTTTCTCTCTCTCATTGGAACAGTGTGGCGTTAAAAATTTCAGGCCGAACCACCTTTTTGTAAAGTAGAACACAGCATGCTTCAAATGAATGTTACCATTTGATTTTCTTTTTCACATCTGTTGTTTTCTCTCACTGTGGGTGTTTTCTGGGGAGGGGGGTGTGAAGCCCCTCCCAACCTTTATAGTCAAAGAAAACAATAGGAAAATAGGAAATCCACCAGCGGCGCCGTTTCCTCAACATAAACACGTGCACTACATGGTTAGCAGAAACTCTCTAAAGAAAGTGCTTGCATTTTAAGGAATGGATGGATGGTTAGATGGACAGATGTACCATAGCAGAGAAGAAGAGAGGCCCGGGCCATTGATCTCTTTCTCCCTCTTGCTGAATGTAGATGGGTTCTTATTCAGATTCTCGGTATGTTACAAATCAAGAAGCCTTCTATCGCACAAACTGTTAGCTTCTCCAAGGCTTAGATAGGCCACTTTGCAGAATTTATGCAACTGACAATACATTTGAAAGAGAAGCATATCCTTTTCTATGCAGCCACCCTCCAGATATTTTTCTGCTCTCAGAAGATTCAGGAAGCGCCAACTGTTGAATTTTTAATAAGTAGATACATGGTTGGACTGCTACTTCTTGGGATATATGATTGCAAACCCTAATTATTTTTCACTGGAGAATTTCCAGATCTGTCTGAACATGTTTTTGAAATTCAAAAGCTCAAAAGACGATGTCTGACTATGCTATATCCTGAAACAGAAATCGGTGAGACAGAGGGAAAATGGGAACAAGTACTTAGAGCCAAATGTTGACTGGGATGTAGTTTTCACTGACCTCTCATTCCTGACAGGGCTGAATACTTACAATATCTCTGCTCTCCAGGTCTTTTAAGACATTTTCAAAATGTTATAATGTGTCACATGATTCTGATCATAAGCAAATGTTGGCTAATGGGTCTATTTTCTCCTAATGTGCCTATTTGACAATGCTTGTGTTCCATAAGCACAAGAGAGGATTAAATTAGGTCTCTTGATTTTTGTTTCCTTCTGTCCAACAAAGATCTCAGCATTGCACACTCCTTTTGCTTTCCTTTTGGCTCTCAGAGAAAGTCCCATCTTTGTTTAAGAATGGTTTCTCCTATCGGGGTTTCCCAGGTTGAGGACCTGGACTCACCCAATAGGAGGGCCACAAATTTCAGTGTGTCCTTTGTCAGGCATCGTGAAGATGAACGAGCTGGTTTATAGAAATGATACATCAACTACCTCTTAAGCATCGTCGTGAAAATGTTACAGGATCTCACCATTTGAGCCTTATTTGGATAGACAGTTTTTAAAAGCCCTTCCTGAACACACATATTCCTCTCTGCTTTTGGAAAAATGCCTTAAAAGAAACCTTTTCCAATACAAATGCAGAAAAACAGGTACACAAACCAAGCCACCACTATAGAAGAAGAATAAAAAATTGCAACTCTATGAGGGCATGGACTTCCACATGTTCACACAGTACTTGCTCTGGGGTATTTTTTTTGTTTTGTTTTGTTTTTTTTGTGTTTTTTTTTTGTTTTGTTTTGTTTTTGCTTTTTGTTTTTTGCTTTTTTTAAAAAAATTTTTTTTTGACGTCTTTTTTTTTTTTTCCTGGACATCTAATGACAATGCAAGTGAAAAACATCACATTGGGTAAGGAGTTTTGAAGGAGGTTCGAATGCAAGAGGGACTACTCTCTAACTTAAAAACGAACACGACACTATGAAGAGGGAGTGTGCATCTTTGAGAAACCCTTTTTTTCTTCAAAGTGAATGCACAAAATGAGGGGATTCACTACTGGCTCTTTCGCTTCACGGTAGAAGTGACCGCTTGTGGCCACTTGGACATTGCTGCCCTGCTCGGGCTGCGGTTCAGGCTTACAAATAAATTACATAATCCGAGGGAGTAGGAAAAAGGCTTATAAGAAGTTTCTATTCATTTGAAAGTTAAAGATCGCCCCCACCCCTATTTGACTGTCTTTTCTTCCATCTTTTCCGCAGCAGCGTCTCAGTTCAGTCTTACTCAGGAGGGAGACGGTGGAGGGTAGGCCTCGCGGTCCTAGCGGCTGCTGTTCTTAATCGCTTCTTTTGCGGCGATAATCAGAGGAGTCAGGCTGGAGAGAGGCTTGGCTAATTTTAAAAATGGATGCTACAAAAGGGGGAAAAAAAAAAGAGGAATTACTGGAATCCTTTCCTCCAACAAGTGTATTACCTTACATTCTCAAGAAGCAGCCCTTTTTTCACTCAAATAAATGTACCTTTAGCATCCAATTAAACCTGATTTTATTAAAAATAGTGCCAGCTTTCATGTGTCTGTTGGCCATTTGTATGTCTTCTTTGGAGAAGTGTCTGTTCGTGTCTTTACCCCAAAGACACAGATGTAGTGAAAAGAAGGGCCATGTGCACCCCAATGTTCATAGCAGTAATGTCCACAATAGCCAAACTGTGGAAAGAGCC